CAAGCAACGCTTATTCCACTCCCATGAATTTGATTTATGGTGGGACAATAAAAAAATGTTTGGGGCAAGGGAAGAAAAAGAAAACTCAATAGCCACAAGTTGAAATCGATAATGAAGTTGAATATGAGGATGAAGTTAAAGCCCAGGATGACCCAAATTCTTCCTCTGGTGGTGTTCCTCCATTGGTTATAGTTGGACATTTGCTTGAACAATTGATCGAAAAGATGGAGCAATTTCAAAAGACTCAAGATGAAATAAAGGAATCTCTGAAGCTGATCGATAGTAGGATGGATAGAATTTCAAAAGACTCCATTGCTGGTTTATTGTATCCACATGATAATTTTATTCTAAAAAAAGTTTTAAGTGTATTTATTTTTTAATAAATATAAGCTTACTACAATCTCAACTTACTAAATAATTTATAATCTCTTGAATGGTTCATAGGGATACAAACAATTCTGCAACTTCATCTTTTTCTTTCTCTTTTTTCTTCGTCCTTGTCTGAGTTTTTTTTTTTCGTCCTTGCCTGAGTTTTTTTTTTTTTTGAATTTATAAGGCTCAGTGGGTAGCTAATAAAAAGTGATGGACTTCATTAACAGTTGTAACTTCTTCATTATAGATCTACGGTGGATTTTATTTTTTTGATACCATATCGAAAAGGTACAGTCGATACCACAGCAGGGCCATAAGGTTTAAAGCAACTGGGTTTGCATTTTTGGGACATACGACTTGAAATAACAACTTTTTTTTTTTTTTTTTGGGGGGAGAGGTTCTAGGCTTTATTCTATTGTTCACCGGTGAGACACAGAGGTTGCTAGTTATAGGCTTAGGAATGGAGGAGAATATGATCGGTATGGGAAGTGAGGAGTCGTGGGGGGGGGGGTCAGTGGAGAGAGATGATTAGCCTTAGATATTGTGTCATTTTGATATTTATTATTGGCTAATTATGTTGGGCAAGACATTATTTGTGTTGAATTAATTAAGATTTGGATATCATCTTCTTCTTGTGGTGTTTATTTGATTTGACGGGTAAATTAGTGGACTTAATGATGTGAAAGACAAAATACATAAAGGGAAAAAATTCAGATCAATAAGGAGTAGGATGGAGCATTCTGCTTGATCCGTCCAAACGGTGGATTAAGCACAAACGTACAATCCATAGAGAACCCAAGGAATCATTGAAGACATGCGTCCAGATGGAAAAGAAGTCACATTTGAACATGATTTCCATAAGAGACAAGAAAAACGTTGTAAAGTGCGTTCGGATGGTCCAAGACATGCACCCAGACGCGATGATGAGTTTCAGCCAACGATTTTAGAGTAAATTAGGTTTTTGTTTCCTAAAGCCTATATAAAGGGCTATACAATTTTTGGTAATTAAGTGTTGTATTTTAAAAAAAAAAAAGAAAGGGCTATAGGCCTTGCTTAGTATTCATTCTACCTTTAGCCCCTCATTCTTGGTTTTTGTTCTACTTTTTATGGATTGCTAAATCTCCAACTAAAGTTAGGAGAGATGTTTTCAATAAAGTACACTATTTGTTATTGATCTAATGTTTTTAATGCTTGATTTATTTTTTTTAATTTAATTCTTATCTTTTAGTAAAGTTGTTTCTCTGTATAATTTCTTGATTCAGTGTGCCATGTATATCAAATGTTTGAAATTCCCCGCAAGTCATTATTATAAACTCTAAGCATGGTGAATGCTTGTGATCTACATGTAAATTCCTATATTTATTCAAATAAATTATTAATTATAATTTTTAATATTTTCATATTATCATCGCTAAATATTCTGATTAGAATCACTCCTCAAGTGATTCCTAATTGTGTTTGAAAACTAGATCATTAATAATTATTATGTGTTTTTGAAATGGTATTTCCGATGTTTTATTATTTTCAATTATGTTTTTTAACTGAACAATTTATGTTCTTTTGAACAAAACCAATTTCAAACAACTTCAAAGTATTTTTATTTTATTTTTCCTTGTATTTTACGTCTCTCATAATTCCGAGTTTTATATTACTTCATGACAACCTACACTTATGTGAATAATTTTAAAGTTGTAGCAAGAGAGAGAGAGAGAGAGAGAGAGAGAGAGAGGAAATGTGCATTGGCGACGTCAGTGGTACTAATTATCTAGAAAATCAAATGAAGGCAATGGACAGGGATTCAGGACGTTGTGGTTCAAGTCTGATTAGGGTATGGTATATAGGTTTGGGTTAGGTTGGTTGTATTATTTACCATAAGGGCAAAATAATCATTTCACAACTTCCACTAGGTTTGTTAGTTGACTATGATTGACAGGGGGTGTCAATGTAACATGTCATACTTGAGGGGGTTTGTGTATTTTAGTGAATTTACCCCTACATATAATTTTAAAGATTAAAATTTTCACATTTCATCCTTAATTTATTAAAAGTATTACAATATGATCCTGTTGTTAGTTTTCTATTGTTCATCCCGTCAAAAATCACTCCGATAATNGTGGTACTAATTATCTAGAAAATCAAATGAAGGCAATGGACAGGGATTCAGGACGTTGTGGTTCAAGTCTGATTAGGGTATGGTATATAGGTTTGGGTTAGGTTGGTTGTATTATTTACCATAAGGGCAAAATAATCATTTCACAACTTCCACTAGGTTTGTTAGTTGACTATGATTGACAGGGGGTGTCAATGTAACATGTCATACTTGAGGGGGTTTGTGTATTTTAGTGAATTTACCCCTACATATAATTTTAAAGATTAAAATTTTCACATTTCACCCTTAATTTATTAAAAGTATTACAATATGATCCTGTTGTTAGTTTTCTATTGTTCATCCCGTCAAAAATCACTCCGATAATGTTGATGAATTGAGTGACATTGACTAATTGACCTTTTGGTGCACCCTAGTTCGGTAGGGTGGTGGCTTGGGAGAATGACAACTAGCGTGGTGGGAGTAATTCTTTAGAAACCCACATCACCCGGGTGGAGATAGAACCCAAACAAGGAAGTCTGGGTTTAAGAGAGTATATTGTGATGAGCAATCCCACATTAACTAGTAAAAACCCGAGGTAGGTCCCAAACGAGAATGTTTGGGATTAAGGAGGTAGATTGTGATGACCAATTTCACATCTACTAGGGAAGTAGATATGGAGTGGTACATAAGTATGACATTTGGACCTTTATTGTACAATGCATTTTAAAGTTGTGCTGAGCCTAGCCCAAAGCAAAAAATATTGTTTAATGTGGATCTGGGACATCACATGTGAACAAAAATGATGAGAAATACGATATAATCGTCCTTTGTTCTAAAGTGATACGAAGATACATGTTGTCATCTTCTTTTAGATATTTGAACAATATCATAATTGAAATTTCTGGAGAGTTATACATTTGTGTATTGATAAAACTATTTACTATTTCTTGAAACTCGGTCTCTCATCCGGNGTGCTGAGCCTAGCCCAAAGCAAAAAATATTGTTTAATGTGGATCTGGGACATCACAAGTGAACAACAATGATGAGAAATACGATATAATTTCTCGAGATGATGAGAAATACATGTTGTCATCTTCTTTTAGATATTTGAACAATATCACAATTGAAATTTCTCGAGAGTTATACATTTGTGTATTGATAAGACTATTTACTATTTCTTGAAACTCGGTCTCTCATCCGAATGAATTTGACGGAATGTGGTTAGACGGACCAAAGGGAAGTGGACACGTGGAGGAAAGAGAATATGAAAGGTGAATACCGAGGGATCTCAAGCCAAGGAGAACAAGTCAAACCTTTAGACGATATAAATGCTAGGAGGCGAACAATGATGGCTTACGACACCTGGGCTCAATGACGTAATCTGACATGATTGAAACAACTAAGAGAAGTGAATGTCCTTAACAATAATGATTGCACGCCTTTTTGACATAAGAAGAATATGCATAGAAATATCAACCTTGGATAATGAGACCAATCATACAATACCTCAATAAAGTTGTCCATTTAATGGTCAGGCTCGATCATGCCTCGAAAGGATATAGGACAAGATCAACCAATCAGGTTCACTCGATGACGAACGTTGCATGAATGCCCGACGTTGAGCATTGATGATTAGTAACTGCTTGGCTTATGTTCCCCAATGAATTGTAAGTGTGCGGCTCAAGTAACAATGATAGCACGGCTCGAGGGCAATTGATCTGCTGCCACTGAGGGCTAGCCCTCTGTNCCCGACGTTGAGCATTGATGATTAGTAACTGCTTGGCTTATGTTCCCCAATGAATTGCAAGTGTGCGGCTCAAGTAACAATGATAGCACGGCTCGAGGGCAATTGATCTGCTGCCACTGAGGGCTAGCCCTCTGTTGTCTCCAATCAGGGGAGTTCCCCCCCTCCCCCTTTGACATTGACAAGGCGTCTAGCTTGTCGGTGGCCTCGTTCTAAGCACAAATCATACACCCTTGGCTATAAAATACCACCTTAGCCTAATGCTACATGTATGTGATCTGGCTACACTAGAGATTTTGCTTCCCTCCTCTCATTCACAAGACTAATTTGATTGTCAGAGGGGAATCATCAGATTCACATCTGCCGCCTTCTAACATTCTACTTTTAGGTCTTTTTCCTTGACGTCTCTCCAACAACTTGTGAGTGCGATCGCATTGGTATGGTAAAATTGCCAAAAATTGCATAGCCAAGAGAAACCATGAACCAAAACATTACCTCCAGAGCGAACCAGTTGGTCAATTGCCAAAGTTTCACCGAGAGACCAGAGAGCCCAACTCTCCCCACTCCTCCTAGGGCAATCCATTGGGCTGAGTTTATCTTGCATATTAACATGCATAGAGTGCTCCGTGATATCACTGGCTTTAGGTTCAAAAACAAAAGATCTCACTCGTGTCAAGGGGAGTCGTTGGCCATGCCTGAATATCCCTAGTGTGCGTGCAGACACAGACACAGACACACACACACACACTAAATGGTTCATTAAAGACTTTACGATAGAGAACGAATGGTCAGTTACACAAGAATCGAATGGTAAAGAATAAAGCTCATCCTAGATACAAAAGGCAACTGTAAAGTTACTCGCCTCCTTCGAAAGTTGAATTAAATGCTGATCTTTCCCACTCTTCAACAGGGCAACAAATATACCGATGTCCCATAATCAACAATCCATGAAAGAAAACATGACACCTCCTTCCCCCTATATTTTTTGTACAAAAACAACTTGATTTAATGTACTGAAATTATACAACTATAAAACCACGCATGTCTCGGGTAGATAACAGTTATCCTGCATAACTTTCCAAGGTCTACCATACCTTGAACTTCATAATTTCAACAAATTCAGGAAAAAACCTTCATTTCACTTGAATATCATGGAATACAGACAGCATCAACTCTTTGGAGTAGCTCTAGAACACTTGCTGCTTTTCTCTTGGCCCTATCTGTGCCATTCTCTGACAGTTCCTTCAATACCTCTTCTGCTCCAAGCTCCCTTGCTATTTTCAAGTACTGGACATCGCCTGTACAGAGAGACCATAATATCGCTGCAGCATTCTCTCGGTTGCGTGGTGAACCAGTTCTTATAACCTCAACCAGAACTGGAATTGGTTCAGCCTGACCAATGGCTACTTTCCCTTCTTGATGGCTTGCAAGTATAGCCAAAATGGCCAATGCCTCATCCATCATTCCACCCCCAGCATCCTTAAGAAATCTCATCAGATGTGGCACAATCCCGGCCCTTAAAGCCCTCACCTTGTTTCCTTGATATATTGAGAGGTTAAAAATAGCAGTAGCCGCATCTTTCTTTCCTCTTGGAGTGCCCTGGCAAAGCAAATCAATAAGAGCTGGGATAGCCCCTGCTGCACCTATTGCCACCTTGTTCTCATCTACAACGGATAGACTAAAAAGGGTTGCAGCAGCATTTTCTCTTGCTTCAGTGCTGCCATTTTTCAACACATCTACTATGTCGGGTATAGCACCTGCATTTACAATACTTCCCTTGTTGGCCTCATTTATGGAAAGGTTTAGAAGTGCAGTAACGGCGTGCTCTTGGGTCCGAGAATCAGCCGAGGATAGTAGCTCTACAAGCAGTGGAATGGCTCCTGCCTCTCCAATACATACTCTGTTACCGGCATTTCGCTTTGCCAGCAAGCGGAGCTCACCAGCAGCTGCCCTTTGCTGTTCTGAATCCCCATTTGTAAGTTTCTGTAACAAGGTATCAATAGCAGTTCGATCACACTCTGAATTACCACTTCCGGATCTTCTATTTCTACCATTGCCTTGGTTCTTTGGCAGCTCAACACCATTACTCTCACACCATAAAGCAATAAGACTCTTCAGAACATAGTTGGGTGTTAAGGCCGTGTGCAAAAGAGTCTGCTGAGTCTTGGGACAAGTCTTGTGCCCTGCATCCAGCCATTTTTGAATACAGGACCTTTCATATGTCTGCAAAAAGTAAACATATGATTAAATAATGTCTATGAGTGCATGTATAAGCAGTAAACTGTTAGGTAAGTGCCAGTTCAAACCTGTCCAGTAGAGACAATAACAGGATCTTTCATCAATTCAAGGGATATTGGACACCGAAAATCATCTGGGATAACTGGAGATCTGCGCTTAATCAAAACCTTTTCATCCTCAGGGGTGTCAAAATCGGGGTTTCTGATTGCTACAGAGTCCTTTAGCTTCTTAAGAAGAAATGACATGGATTCAAAACAGTCCTCGGAAACTCCAGCACTTGATATAACTATATCATGGATAGCAAGTGACTCCCCCTTCAGATCATCTATAGTCCTGAGATACAGCTTTTCCGAAAGCCTTTTCAAAAGTGAAACATCGGGGTCTTTTTCCCTTCGTGCCATGGCTAAATCCATTTCCAGTTGTAAATCAGGCCAGTCCATCCTTCCCTTTGCTCTTTTAAATTGTGCATGCACAAGATCAATCTGAAGGAGGAAAAAGCAGGCCACAACTTTAGTCAGGAAAAAAAGAAAGAGAAAGTAGAGGTTGCCACTGAGTTTTTATGAATTACATTTTTTGAAATGTCAATACATCCTTAAGTACCTGTTCTCGAACTTCCTCCGTGATATCGAGTTTATCATACGGAACCTGGCTCAATGCTGCTTCAATATGTTCTGTCACTTGATGGAACCTGCCTGCAATTTTGTCCATTTGCAGAGCCTGTGACATGGAAAATGAAGCTTACGTTAAATCCAATAACACAACAATGCAAGGAATTAATTTTCAAGATGACTACTAACTTAAGCACAAAGTCATAGATCTAAATATTGATCTCTGATGACATTCAAACAAACACTTTCTTACCATCTTACGGAAGACTAGAACTAATCTTTGAGCAATGTCTGAAACTACGAGCATTTATTGTATTGGGATGGCCATAGAAAAATGTTCCAATCATTTAACAGATCCAAATCTTTCTTCGGGAAATACACAAGTAAATAATAATTGAATTACAACTTACGATGGACATTCAAAACCATTTGAAATAGATCTAGAACTACAAAAAAGACACATGAACACCCATTGTCACTAACAAAGAGTTGTGTTGAATTATTTGCAACATCAAAAGCCCTAAGGCATATAATGACTATAGTTATTTGTACGGTGTACCAACTGGGTTTGATTAAGTTATCTACCTAGGGGATACACAGACACACCCTGCATTAGAATTCTAAACCCATACTCATTATCCAAAATGGCCTAACTTTGGGAGGAAGATGGATAATTTTGTGTTTATTCAACATCCCACTGAAGTGGCACAACTTTTTTCTTTTTGAATAGACATGCAAAGGAAAGCACATAGGTGCACATGAACACCCTCACAAAGATCCCTTGATCTGCCAAAAACCCAACATTTTATACTCCATAGCCCAAACTTGGGAATGATGACAACAATCCAGTCCTCTATCTTCGATGAAGAACCTTTAGTTAAAATACCAAAGTGCATGCGAATAATATGTAGATAGTTTCCTCATCTTCCAAGGCATCTATTTTCATAACACAAAAAAATCCTTGGTTCAAAAGAACTACAAACTAGACACAGAAATTTCAGTCCCAAAATTTACCAAAAGAAGACTGTCACATATACAAAAGAGATGTATCTTACTTACCAAAACAATAAAAAATTTAACCTAATTTGCTGATCTAATGCGGTGGTTTCATTGGAACCATTGGGCCAACATCAAGTTTCAATGTTTGATAGGACCCACAATCAATCTAAAGACTATAACCCAAAGGCTATAATGAATTAGGTCAACAAATGAGGTCTCAATACCATTGCTCCAACAACAAAGCAATATCATTTCTATTCTTTGTCATTTGTATCAAATTTTGAAGATCATGCAATTGAAAATTGAGAGAGAGAGAGAGAGAGAGATTGGGTTGTGCTGCAACCCAGAAAAGCATAATCAGAAAGCCAAACAATTATGCCCTAATTGACAGTTAGAGAACATTTTCAAACCATTGCAACTAGAAAGTTCCACTTCCCATCAAGTTAAATTCTTTTCATGACATCTTCAAATATTTGAGTTACAATTTGCACATGACCAAAAAAAAAAAGTTACAATTTGCACACAAAGCTCATTAGGCTCTGGTTGGCTGCGTAGAACTAGGCAAAAAATCAAATATATAGATTAACAGCAAACATGGATATCAAAATTTCTAGCCCCTTTTCTTCCAAGTTCTCAGCAACCAAACAAACCAAATTTACCAGAAATCAAATTTAAAGCACAACTATCGTCAAAAGCCACATTAACTAGCTCAAAACTAGCAAAAAAAAAAAAACCAGTACCTGAAAAATCTTGCTGCCTTCATTGACAGATCGGAGAAGATCTTTAGCCTTAATCAAAGCAATCTTCAACTGATCAAGCCCAAAAACAACGTCGTCACTGAGCTCTTCATCACTGTCCTTCAATTCATCAAACAGAGGGCTCAGTAGCTTCACTCTACGAACCAAATTATTGTACCATTTCTTGGAGACATTTCGGCAGTCGGGTAAACCGGAAATGTCTTTTATCAACTCAACGAGGCGACTCACCAGCTCGTTCTTTGCATCGTCCATTGGACCCATATGGGTCCGTGAATAAAAATCCCAAAAATAAAAATAAAACTGCAGAATTGAAGGTTTTAAGGGAATCAAGAGAGACCCAGAGGAGAGAATTGCTAGAGTTTCGATGGGTTGGTTCTGAATTAGTTGACTCACCAAGACGTAATTGGGTGTGAAAAAACCCCAAGGACAGCCTCACAGGCGCTGGCTTTTGAGGTAAGACTTGGATGATGGAATTGGTAGAATTTTGAGAACCTGGAGAGAGAAAAATGGAGAAAATTGGATTGCAGCACACAGGATGTAAGGTCTTGTGTGGGAATATAGAGCGAGAGAAAGAGAGAGANTGCAGCACACAGGATGTAAGGTCTTGTGTGGGAATATAGAGCGAGAGAAAGAGAGAGATATTTGATTTTTGTTATACTAAACAAGGCAGATTAGTTAACTATGAGACCGCTGATAAAAAAAACTTTTTTTTAGGTCAGCTGATCAAAAAAACCTACNTTGTTATACTAAACAAGGCAGATTAGTTAACTATGAGACCGCTGATAAAAAAAACTTTTTTTTAGGTCAGCTGATCAAAAAAACCTACGAGATCAATTAAATAAGGTATTTACTGATGACAGAGTCAGTAATCTGATATCTGTTCTTACATAATTTTTTTTTTTTGCTATTGTAAAAAGAGGTGGGAAGAGAGGGGAGTTCTCAGCGTCATTGATAGGATCACGAGGAATGGTCAACCACCAAACTCGAACCATCTCACTCAATGGTCATTCTTACATAATTAATATTCGAAAATATCTAGAGTATCCTACGTAAAATTATAATCCTTTGCCATAAAGTTACCCTTTTAAAAATAAAAATTACGATTAATCAAGAAAAACTTATAATCAATCATAGATATCTGTGATCGATGATCACAAACATACATGATTGATCATGAATTTTCAGTTATAACTTTTTTATTATGAATTATAATTTAATATTTAAAAATAATAATTTTTATCATCGAATATAATATTTTAAGATTCACCGTATCTTTGACAATTGCACTAATTTATGGTATCGCCGTTGTGTTTTTTGGAATACTTTCTGGCCTTTAGTTTGCAGCGTTGTCTTGTTTTGAATATGAATAGGTCCAAGATTGCCGGAATGAATAGTAAAGTTCACTAGGTCCGAAAATAGATCGAAAAGTATACTTGGATCTCATACGGAATTAATCGGGACAGAGTCTGGAATTTATTTAAGGGAATGTAAAATATAGTTAGAAAAAATTTATTAGTTAATATATAAAAAAATTAATTTTAAACAATAAAAGATGTTAAAATTCAATACTAAATTAATATATTAAAAAAAACACTAATTTTCATAGTCGAAATTAATTTTCCCTTGAACTACCTTGGGGTTGAAGGTAGGACTGTTCATCAGAACCGATGGGTAAGAAATAGTGCATCCATCTTTCAAGTTGATGAATTGCGAAAGACTAATCTTTTGGCTGATCTTACGTGACCGAGGGTAATGTTTCGAACTGAATTCTGTCCAAAAAATATGTTTAAAAGTTGAGTAAGAATACGAAATATCTAAGTTATTAATTTTTAAGTCATTTTAACAACTTAATACTCCGTTTGCTACGAGAAAAAAGTGGGAGGGTGAAAAGTTGGAGAGATAAAAAAAATATCATGTTTGGTAAGGAAGGAAAGTAAGAAGGATGGAAAAGTTGATGAATTAACTTTCCTTTCAACTCACCAAAATCAATCCCTCCAAAATCGGAAGGAAAGTAGATGGAAAGTTAATTATTTGTATTGATATGTATCTTATTTGTCTATATATCTTATGTATACATTAATTTTATATAAAAATACAATGGTAAAATATGTATATATATTTTAAAATAAATTTAAAATAAATTTTTTAAAAAATTAAAAATTAAANAAAAAAATAATATAATTTTTTTCTGAATTAAAAAAATTTCCAGTCGGCCGTTACAGTGATGACGTGGCAAGATGGATTTGATTAATCAACGTGTAAACCCGCGTCGAGACAGAGAGTGATGTATGGGTGAGCCGGCACAAATCACTGAGTCGTTATCTGGCCGACGTGAAAGAAACTGTCAAATAGCAGGCCGTGACGTGGACGGCGCGCGTTACGCAGCTCGCGTGGACCCTACACCTACACCGTTGAATCCAAGTGCGTTGGCCGGTGAGGGGGCCCATATCATAGGGTCCCTATCTGGACCGTTCAACTACTTGTAACAAAAGTCTACGTTTTTTTTGTTCTTTGGGGTCAAAACGACACACCAAATCTGAAATTCATGTCTAATTAGTGGTTCTCATTATAGGCGTGTTGATAACTTCTTATTAAGGAATAATTCACGTTGTAATAGGGCAGAGTTGTGACTTAAATTTAAATATTGATAAATTCTTCATATATATCTTAATCCTGACGTAGATAATTTCTTATTTTTGATTAAATCAAAAAAAAAAATTAGTCGAAATAAGCAAAAATTAATCCCAACATTCTTGACCGTCGACCAAAAAAGAAAAAAAAAGAAAGTGTTATTTAGCACTATAATGAGGCCAATCTCTAGGAAATTGGGCCCCATCACGAATTGAACTATCAAGATTCAGAGCCTCAAACATCTTTTATCTAATATTATAATTAAAAAAAATTCAATTTTCAACTTATAGAAGAATAACAACCGTTATTTTGGTGGTGATGGCCACCAATCCTGCCATGGACGGAACTAAGAAGGGGCTAGGGGGTCATGGTCCCTCACATTTTTAAAAGTCCCCATAACAACTCATAAATTTTAGCAAATATCTATTTTTCTTCTTAGGTTTTAATTATATTATATGAAATGTAATTTTGATAGAATAGTGCAACCAACGAGCAACACAACAACACTTCGGTCAGCTGTGTTCCCAAAACAAACTTCTTCTTACATTCATCTTCTTATTGTCACATTCCATGGGACTCATTTTGATTAATCACATTACAGCTTTAATTGAAATTAATTGCTTACATCTCACAACCACAGCATAGAAAGAGTACAAAAATCAGAAGATAGATACATCACCATACACACAAACCTAACGTAATAAAGCAAGGTACTGACTGGGTTCCCATAGCAAGACCAGCTGTAAAGTCATATTGAAGTTCTGCAATCATGAAGGTGATGGACGGGGCAATCGCTTAGCAATTTCCTGCCAAATAAAGCCACACGAAGAAAGAAACTAATAAGCCCCAACTCATTGTCGACAAGTAAACAAAACNAATAAAGCCACACGAAGAAAGAAACTAATAAGCCCCAACTCATTGTCGACAAGTAAAGTAAACAAAACAAAACAAAACANACAAACCTAACGTAATAAAGCAAGGTACTGACTGGGTTCCCATAGCAAGACCAGCTGTAAAGTCATATTGAAGTTCTGCAATCATGAAGGTGATGGACGGGGCAATCGCTTAGCAATTTCCTGCCAAATAAAGCCACACGAAGAAAGAAACTAATAAGCCCCAACTCATTGTCGACAAGTAAACAAAACAAAACAATCTTTGTTCCCTTACAGAAACTGTTATTATTATACTCCTGTTCCTGTAGTGGAAATTCACCATTAACTAGGAAAATGATTGCCTATAGAAAGACAGGTTGGAGAGAGAGACTAGTGTACCTCAAACAGCTGATTTATATTATCTGCTGTCTTAGCAGACGTCTCGATAAAAAACATCCCATTCTTTTCTGCATAGTCGGTGCCATCCTTCAAGGAGAAAAGTAAAAGAAAAAAGACATAAAAATGTCAACAAAGGACAAACCAAACCAAACCAAAGAATTTGACAATGCAAATGAAAAGCTGATGTATTAAGCCGTGGATTATGTCACTCACTTCAACTGGGATTTCTCGCTTTTCTTGGAGATCAGCTTTGTTACCGACTAAAGCCATTACTATATCAGGACTTCCATGCTTTTGCAGTTCCTGTAAAATACCAAACTAATCAATGACTTCAATGTTTCAGAGGACAAGTACATTTGTAACAGGTGCAATTTATAGAATATGAGATAATACTGGGGCCTATGCAAGTCGGATTGCAATATAATATCTCATTTGGAGCCAATAAATAATTTTCCAGTATGTCACTTGAACTAATACTCTAATAACGAGTACAAATATACTTTGTGAATTACTAGAAATTAACGGCAATGAAAACTGCTTACTTCAGTGCTCATATTACTATCCACTTCATTGCAAGGGGAGCTTATCTAGATAACCATTGTTATGTCATTTATGTATGATTCATAACTAGGACTAGTATCATTTGCTCAAACCTAAGGGATACGGAACCTTTGGCAACCAAAACGCACACAAAAGTTGCATACATTGCCCTCACCTGTTTATTATCATTGTTGATGCCAAGTAGACAAGTAGTAGCTTATCTCATAAAGTATGAGATCAAAAAATTGTAAAAGAAAGACAAAAAACAACAAAGCATTTTGTGGGATCACAAAGTGAATTTTATTTTAAGAAGTTTTTCGGCAAAAAGATAAGTTCTGAGCTGGTAACAAATGGTACATACCACGATGGCCCACCCATTGGTTGGTTGGACCAATACAATAGACTTTGAAAGTCTAGGCGAAAGACTAGAAATTTTGGTCCAAAAGGAAGTATAATTGGTAGTTCTATTATTATTATTTTGATTTAGGAGTATTTGTTAAACTAGGAGGATTAGTTAGAATTTGATTAGAAAATTATTATAGAGTTTTAGTAGTATAAGAGTTCAGAGTTTAATTATAAAACTCTTTTATCATTTTAGTAGGAGAATAGTTTTATTTTGGTAGTGGTCTTCGCCTATAAATATTGATGTNAATTCACGTTGTAATAGGGCAGAGTTGTGACTTAAATTTAAATATTGATAAATTCTTCATATATATCTTAATCCTGACGTAGATAATTTCTTATTTTTGATTAAATCAAAAAAAAAAATTAGTCGAAATAAGCAAAAATTAATCCCAACATTCTTGACCGTCGACCAAAAAAGAAAAAAAAAGAAAGTGTTATTTAGCACTATAATGAGGCCAATCTCTAGGAAATTGGGCCCCATCACGAATTGAACTATCAAGATTCAGAGCCTCAAACATCTTTTATCTAATATTATAATTAAAAAAAATTCAATTTTCAACTTATAGAAGAATAACAACCGTTATTTTGGTGGTGATGGCCACCAATCCTGCCATGGACGGAACTAAGAAGGGGCTAGGGGGTCATGGTCCCTCACATTTTTAAAAGTCCCCATAACAACTCATAAATTTTAGCAAATATCTATTTTTCTTCTTAGGTTTTAATTATATTATATGAAATGTAATTTTGATAGAATAGTGCAACCAACGAGCAACACAACAACACTTCGGTCAGCTGTGTTCCCAAAACAAACTTCTTCTTACATTCATCTTCTTATTGTCACATTCCATGGGACTCATTTTGATTAATCACATTACAGCTTTAATTGAAATTAATTGCTTACATCTTACAACCACAGCATAGAAAGAGTACAAAAATCAGAAGATAGATACATCACCATACACACAAACCTAACGTAATAAAGCAAGGTACTGACTGGGTTCCCATAGCAAGACCAGCTGTAAAGTCATATTGAAGTTCTGCAATCATGAAGGTGATGGACGGGGCANTTTTGTTGTGTATTTTTGATTTAATCCTTGCGAGAGTTTGGTATCTCTTCTTCTATTTTCTATTCTCTTATTTCTTCTTCTTCCATCCTACATCAATTTAGTATCAGAGTAAAACCCCGATCCGTCCCTCTATATCAATATTTCTTTGTTTGCTGCCATTAACTATACTGTCAACTGACATATTCATATGTCGTTATTATTCTTGCCATAGCCATATCTTGCTGCCGAGTCGTTATATTTCCGGAGTGCTGCTACTAGCTTGAAGAAGAGCTGCTCTAGGTTTGATTCTGGGCTATAAAATCCAACCTGCCTCTTTTCTTTTAAAACATAATCTCAATTCAATTCCCAATCTCTAACCCATGTAATCAAAATTAGCCCAATGCCAGCTCAATAGTACCCAATCTGGAAAAATCTTCAGATCTATCCGTAGAAACTTCCAAAATTACACAAACACCCTAAACCTTTCTAAAATTACAAATTTACCCCTGAAGTTTCAGAAATTACACTTTGGCCTGCAAAAGTCAGAAATTCCAATTTGATCTTAGAATTTTTTGAATTTACAGATTGACCATAGGATTTTCAAAAAATTTCTCAAAACTCTACTCCAATCAAGATCTTGACCAATGCCGAGTTAAGTGCTGGAGTTAAAGCACATGATTCGTGATTAGATTCGCCCCAAGGATCAATAGATTCTCTCCAAGCGTCTATCGTCTTAATATGAGAAAATATGGAAGCCTTGATGACTATTGTCCTAGATAAAAAAAATAAAGGAGTGGAAATGCATGCAAATTATGATTCCTCCTCATCGGCTATCAATCAACAACTAATGCTCACACAAATCCCAGTTTAAGAAGACCCAAGATTGTTTAATTTTGATAAGGGATTAAGCTAGAGGTTGGAGATTTCCACGGGGATAATAATCCCAAAATATTCCTTAATTGGTTGCAAAGCCTTGAAAACTTCTTCATATAACATCGTTTGACTGATAAGAGGAAAATATTCTTTGCAGAATCGAAGTTAAAGGGAGTAGCAAGACTTTGATGGGTAAAGTATCAACTCACTCACTTGGATAGATCATGGGATAATATTAAGACTGCTTTGACTCATGACTTTGTGCCTGCTAATTATAAGTAATGAACTCATCTATAGTTCACACAGTTGAATCAAGGAAGTATGTCTGTCAAGGAGTACACAGAAAAATTCTACAACTTGACCACTCGATCAAAGTTCCTATGGATTGAGGATGTGATGATTGTCATGTACTGGGAAGGTCTCAAATCACAAATTTCCATGGTTTTAGCTGCAAATAGACATTACACCATGATAGATACAATTCAGGTTGCCTATCAGATGGAAGATGAGTTAAAAAAGAGATATCCTATGAGGTCTTCTATGGCACCTCCAACTCGAATCGAGAGAATTGTCGTATATGCAAGTCAAGGTAAGTCTACCAATAAACCCAAGAGAATACTTTTACTTCAATCAAACCATCTTACACTAGTGCTAATTCTTCTTCTCAAGGGAGTACTAATTTAGGACGAGGTGTTTTAATTATCATGGTTTTGGTCATCTCTGTTTTCTATGCCCTTCAAAATTTGTTGTTATGGTTGAAAATGAAAATTCTAATGTACATAATAATTCTGATGAGCTAGAATTTGAAATTGAGATTGTAGAACCTCTTGTGGGTGAGGTTAATTTTGATAATTTGGATGATAATTATTTTGTGGGTGTTATCCATCCTTTACTTATTGCTAATAAAGAGGTTGCTAATGATGAGTTTATTCATCGAGGAAAAATCTTTCAGACAAGAGTTAGTGGGGAAGGACAANCGAAGTTAAAGGGAGTAGCAAGACTTTGATGGGTAAAGTATCAACTCACTCACTTGGATAGATCATGGGATAATATTAAGACTGCTTTGACTCATGACTTTGTGCCTGCTAATTATAAGTAATGAACTCATCTATAGTTCACACAGTTGAATCAAGGAAGTATGTCTGTCAAGGAGTACACAGAAAAATTCTACAACTTGACCACTCGATCAAAGTTCCTATGGATTGAGGATGTGATGATTGTCATGTACTGGGAAGGTCTCAAATCACAAATTTCCATGGTTTTAGCTGCAAATAGACATTACACCATGATAGATACAATTCAGGTTGCCTATCAGATGGAAGATGAGTTAAAAAAGAGATATCCTATGAGGTCTTCTATGGCACCTCCAACTCGAATCGAGAGAATTGTCGTATATGCAAGTCAAGGTAAGTCTACCAATAAACCCAAGAGAATACTTTTACTTCAATCAAACCATCTTACACTAGTGCTAATTCTTCTTCTCAAGGGAGTACTAATTTAGGACGAGGTGTTTTAATTATCATGGTTTTGGTCATCTCTGTTTTCTATGCCCTTCAAAATTTGTTGTTATGGTTGAAAATGAAAATTCTAATGTACATAATAATTCTGATGAGCTAGAATTTGAAATTGAGATTGTAGAACCTCTTGTGGGTGAGGTTAATTTTGATAATTTGGATGATAATTATTTTGTGGGTGTTATCCATCCTCTACTTATTGCTAATAAAGAGGTTGCTAATGATGAGTTTATTCATCGAGGAAAAATTTTTCAGACAAGAGTTAGTGGGGAAGGACAGNGGCTATCAATCAACAACTAATGCTCACACAAATCCCAGTTTAAGAAGACCCAAGATTGTTTAATTTTGATAAGGGATTAAGCTAGAGGTTGGAGATTTCCACGGGGATAATAATCCCAAAATATTCCTTAATTGGTTGCAAAGCCTTGAAAACTTCTTCATATAACATCGTTTGACTGATAAGAGGAAAATATTCTTTGCAGAATCGAAGTTAAAGGGAGTAGCAAGACTTTGATGGGTAAAGTATCAACTCACTCACTTGGATAGATCATGGGATAATATTAAGACTGCTTTGACTCATGACTTTGTGCCTGCTAATTATAAGTAATGAACTCATCTATAGTTCACACAGTTGAATCAAGGAAGTATGTCTGTCAAGGAGTACACAGAAAAATTCTACAACTTGACCACTCGATCAAAGTTCCTATGGATTGAGGATGTGATGATTGTCATGTACTGGGAAGGTCTCAAATCACAAATTTCCATGGTTTTAGCTGCAAATAGACATTACACCATGATAGATACAATTCAGGTTGCCTATCAGATGGAAGATGAGTTAAAAAAGAGATATCCTATGAGGTCTTCTATGGCACCTCCAACTCGAATCGAGAGAATTGTCGTATATGCAAGTCAAGGTAAGTCTACCAATAAACCCAAGAGAATACTTTTACTTCAATCAAACCATCTTACACTAGTGCTAATTCTTCTTCTCAAGGGAGTACTAATTTAGGACGAGGTGTTTTAATTATCATGGTTTTGGTCATCTCTGTTTTCTATGCCCTTCAAAATTTGTTGTTATGGTTGAAAATGAAAATTCTAATGTACATAATAATTCTGATGAGCTAGAATTTGAAATTGAGATTGTAGAACCTCTTGTGGGTGAGGTTAATTTTGATAATTTGGATGATAATTATTTTGTGGGTGTTATCCATCCTCTACTTATTGCTAATAAAGAGGTTGCTAATGATGAGTTTATTCATCGAGGAAAAATTTTTCAGACAAGAGTTAGTGGGGAAGGACAAATATGCTCGTTAGTGATTGATACGAAAAGTTGCACAAATGTGATACCAGAAGAGATCATGAAAAAACTAATTTTGAAAGTTAAACCAAATCTGAAACCATATCATGTAGCATAGATTATTAATACCGTGATGAAAGTTGATAAGAGATGTCCAGTTACATTCACTATTGGAAGCCTTAAGGAGACCGCCATATGTGATGCGTTGCCTCTCAACCTTTGTCATATACTTTTAGGGCGCACCTGGATATGGGATCGTGATGCACAACATGCAAGGCGAGCTAATACTTATTCTTTTACAATTGGGAGAAAGAAGTATACTCGTACATGTGCTACAGATATGATTGCATTACAATTGAAAAATAGTTCATTATTGATTGAGAGAGATTTTCTATCGGATGGTATTCATGGCCCTCTACCTTACTCGCCGAAGTAGAGTTCTTTTCGGCACCCCGGGGGGGGGGGAGGGAATTGATTGTGCAACCATTGGTTAGTTGGACCAATACAATCGACTTTATAAGTCTAAGCAAAAGATTAAAAATTTTTAGTCCAAAGGAAGTGTAATTGGTAGTTTTATTATTATTATTTGATTTAAGAGTATTTGTTTGACTAAGAGTATTAGTTAGAATTTGATTAGGAAATTATTATAGAGTTTTAGTAATATAAGAGTTTAAGAATTTGATTACAACACTCTTTTAAAATTTTAATAGGAGAATAGTTTTATTTTAGTAGGGAACTTGATCCATAATTATTGATGTAATCCCCACTATTTTTATTAGAGAGTGATATAGTAAAAATTTGTTTCTCTATGAAGAATTTTATATGCTTCTTGACCTAGTTCTTACGAGTGTTTGGTATCTCTTCTTCTTTCTATTCTCATATTTTTTCTTCTTCTGTCAAACATCATACCATCTTCTCGATAAAGCAAAATCATAACGCCTTAATACAAAACTCCACATAAGTACTCAAAAACTTCTTTGTTTTGGTCTGATTAAGATCTTATGGGCCTTTAGATTGTGAATTTCAAAAGGCTTACACAATTGACGGAAATTGAAACTTTATAGTGTCCTTCAATAATGAGGTATTCTAATTTTCAACCACTCAAAATTTAACTAGTTTCAACCTTCGAAGAGAAAATCTATTCCACATAACCCCTTTTCTATGATCCCACATAGTTATATTGATAAGGCCAAAACATATGCTCAACCCCAACTCTAAAGCTGCCATTGCATTGCAGTCTCAAGAAAAGGTCATATAAGATTATTGTATCAGGTTCTTTGCCCCTAGACGCAGAGTGAAGAATATGAGAAAGCCATCCAGCCTTCAACAAGAAGACAATAATAAGAACAAACACAAAATATAAAATAGCCCATTTCTAGCCATACAAGTAATACCTTAACCCAGTACTGTGCTTTGGTGAATGATTCAGGACTTGTTATATCATATACAACAACTGCAACTGCAGCACCACGGTAATAAAGTGGTGCTAGTGCTGCATACCTGAGAAAGACAATCAGAAGTTAAAAACTATCCTAGATGAGTCTTCATGGTATAGGTTTATGTATTACTACTTAATTACACCCTCTGCTTAAGCTTTTAGATCAGATGGAATTCAAATGTATAGAAAGGAGAAGGAGGAAGAAAAGTGAAGAGAAAGAGGAGTGGCCTCTCGAAACAATCTTAGATGGGCGTTTAACCATGAAATTTTCTGCAGCAAAGGGGAGCATAATTACAGAAACAATACCTTTCTTGGCCAGCAGTGTCCCATATTTCGAATTTGACTGTCGTAGAATCTTGCAATGCAATCGTCTGCGACAAGAATGAAGCTCCAATAGTAACCTGGAATCATAGGAAATTAACAAATGAATGTAAATTTATCAGGAACCTGCACAGGGTTTTTAGGAGAGAGGACAGATGGTTACATTCACTGACAAATAAGTGGTTGGCCAAAAATAAACACACAAGATGTTACCAGTTGCATGATTGGCTATCCAACAAGTATAGAGTAACAACCTGGAATCATTACCTTGGATGTTGGGTCAAACTGACCACGAACAAAGCGAAGAACAATGCAACTTTTTCCAACTCCAGAATCACCTAACAGCACAAGCTGTGCACAATAGTAGAACAGGAAATTAGTGGCATTGATGCAGAAAGAGGAGGATCCAATATTAGCTTTGCCTCAAATTTGAGATCAGAAAATCATATAACTAAATCCTGTACACTTTACCAATACCACACACCCTTCCCCAACACACTTTCACAGATAAAGAGGATACATAAATAGTACAAAAAGAACTCAAACCCCATGCACCTGAGATTCTTCGTGCTTCTAAATCTCAAACAGGNCCACACACCCTTCCCCAACACACTTTCACAGATAAAGAGGATACATAAATAGTACAAGAAGAACTCAAACCCCATGCACCTGAGATTCTTCGTGCTTCTAAATCTCAAACAGGAAAGCTTTACTTGTTAAATGGGGTTTTGAAGTATGAAGTATGAAGTCTCAGTTTGTCTATGCATTGTTTTTAACAAGTGGTGGGATCACAGCAAGATGAATCTTTCTGATGTTACTCATGTTGGACAAATCATATGAATGTCAGAGACCAGCAATTTCCACTTCAATTACACCCATCTTCTAGATATGATATCCCTTGACTACCAACAATGGTATTGCAGAGTAATTACATCCTTGACACAAGGAAAACTCTAATATGTCAAAACTTGTTGGAACTTTGACTTATCTGCTATCAGGACTCCATTCACTTCTTTTTAGTATATCTGTTGGCATCTATCGCTCCCATTTCGCATCTATCACTCTCATCCATTCTCATTCATGTTTGAACATGTAGCTCCTAACTACCCGGGTAAGTAACTTAAATATAGCCAACCTAGTCATTCTCTTCCTTATATTATGCATGAAACTCGGATGGAATTCTATGACCACATAATATTCAAGACAAACACCATAGGAAAAATCCAAACTACCAGAATCCCTGTTCTACTTCACCAATTGATGCGTCGAAATCAATTACACAGGTAATCACAAAAAACTTTATTAAATTGCTTGGAACAAAGCATTTGAAATTGGAAGTTCATATAAGCAATAAACAGAACGGATTAACTGCATGAGTTTCAAATTTATCTTCAATTTGTAGAGGACTCTAGAGAAGAAACAGTGTGGATGTGTTTAAGGATTTGGAATTTCTTTCGTTATGGCTGAGAGTTTTATGTACTCCTACAAAAGAGATAAAGAATGGGAAGTTGTAGAAAAATTTCAAAGAAGGAAGTAAATGTTGATTGTCGAGTAATGAAGTGAAAGAGAGGTCAACAAAATAGCAACCTACGAATTTTTAAGTATTGTAGTAAACCAATGATCAAAGCAAGTAAAAACTCCCCTACAAAGATACAAATTTACACTGAATAAGACAGTGCTCTAAGTGGCCCAAAAACCCTCGTCATAGAAGAAATGTTTTTATTTGTTGAGCAAAGTGCTCTTGTTTCTGCCTATGAAGATGCGGATTGGGCTGACTCACCTAGACGGATAGGAGGTCTACAATTGGGCACAGTTTTCTTTTGATTTTAGGTAGAAATCTTGTGACGTGGAAAAGTAAGAAGAAAAGAGTTGTCACAAGGTCGAATGCAGCAGAGTATAGAACAATGGCTTGTGAGCTTATTTGGCTGAAAACCTTACTAAGTGAGCTTAGAGTTGAGGTGTCGCATCCTATGAGACTATTCTTTGATAATCAAGCAACAACTCACATTGTTTCCTCTTTATTCCCTTTCTAAATTGTTGTATAGTCAATCCCATACTTAGTGAAAGATAAATAGAGGTCCAAAATGCTTCCTTTGTAATCAACTCTTCCAAATTTCTTCCTTTAAAGCCCATAATATAAAATTAACCCAGTTTGGTCTCTATAGACCAAATATGCCGGGATTGATAAGCTAACTATAGATATAACAATTGATATTATTTGCACAAAGTTCTAATTTGTTACTATTTGAACCTATGATCTTGTGGTTGTTAGTCCATTTTACCAGTGCACCAGACAAGACCTGTTACATGCTTAACTTTTAATATATTTATTATACAATATTAGAGGTAGTTATTAGGAAGTTATTAGTGATAAAGTATTTGTGAAAAGTTTTCTAGGTGGTTTTCTAGGTAGTGGGTATGTTGGTTATGTATATAGTTATTTTCATTATGTATTTAAAGTTCTCATTCTTAATGAAATTGACATGATAGATTTTGAGATAAACTTTCTTGTAAAGTTTGGAGATTAAGTTCTTTTCGAATTGAACCACCTAANTCATTCTTAATGAAATTGACATGATAGATTTTGAGATAAACTTTCTTGTAAAGTTTGTCGATTAAGTTCTTTTCGAATTGAACCACCTATGGTTTTCAACTCTCCTCGAAGCGGGTTTTTCTTTTTCCAATTCAATTTTTTGTCCATTTTCTAAATTTATCAAAGTGTGCACGTAACAAGACCTCTCATCAAAACACACAATGATCCATTCGTCTTCCCTATGTTTAGGAATAAGAATGAGATGCAAAAACTAGATACAAAATACTCAATACTGGGAGCCGTACTATTATCATACAGTTTGAATATAAGTAGTTCACCGTAATATCCTCGATTCCTTAGCTTTTCAACATCTTTAAGTTTTGACCCATGAAAAATAATTAATATGACAACAAAGTTAAAATAATAGCCAATTATAGATAACAATCATCTCATCAACATATATACTATTGATTAGGCAAATGCTAGTCTTGGCCAGCCCTCTAGTGCCTCGCTTAACAAATTACAGACATTTTGGAATCTAATTTCTAATTTCTTTCAATTTTTCACATGAATGCTTCTCTTTCCTAGAATAACGCTGATGATCCCAAGGGCATAAAGCGATTATCCCAGTATAGTGGACTTTGATAGAAGTTAATTACAACAATTATAGGTTATCAAGCATTTAACACCCAAGTGAACATGCAATGTACCTTCACGCGTAGGTTTTTGGCGTCATTTGCTCCACCATTCTCCGAATTAAGTCCACCCACCTGCCCCAAATTCCTATCTGCAAAAACCACCAAATCAATCAAAATTAGCAACTATTCTCAAAAGGGTAACTGATTCAAAGCTTCACATAAACAATTAAAACTAAATCGAACGCTACTGAGCCAACGGACTTTACCACGAACCAACCTTGGGCAGCTCAACATCAATTAAATCTTTTTCAGCTCAAATACCAAAGAAATTGGGGAAGTAATAAAGATGACAACAGGTATTTAACAACAACTATTAGAAATTAGAAGACCCTAGAAATAAATTGGATGTGGGTACTTTTACCTGGAAGAGAGGAAGAGCAACCCATGGCAAAGCGAGACTGTCGGATATGACAAAAGTGTTTGTAATATCACAGATATATCTATGTATTCGTGTTGCTGTATTTAGGTTTTTAGGGTTTAACGTACAGAAGAGTTGGGTGATGGCGAGAGAGAGAGAAGGGGCGGAGGATTACTCAAGGTAATGGTTGTTGGCAGGGTCGTCAACGGTGGCAGAATGTTGTTTTTTGATTTCACGTTTTAAAGCCACCATAAGATGAGGTCATGGCTACCATTTTTTTTCTTTTTTCTTTTTTTTTTTAGCACGATTTCGTTACCATTCCAAAACTAGTTCGTTCTTTTCTCTTTGAAGTGTATTCCAAAACTAATTTACAGTCTTAGATTTTAGTTAAATTGATTTGCATCAATAATTAATTTATTATATTCGGAGTATATTTGGGCACAAAATTATTGACCGTAGACTTATATAACAATTTTGTTAGATTATGCATGTGCATGTCCTCACCGACTTTGCTACTAAATCAGGAACCCGAGCCTTGACTAAGTGTTTATTATTTTTATTAATGGGTCTTTAATCTAATAACACTCTTTATATCATATCGTGAATGTTTTTATTTCTCAAGATCAAAAGTTTAAAGGTGTCTNATTTGGGCACAAAATTATTGACCGTAGACTTATATAACAATTTTGTTAGATTATGCACGTGCATGTCCTCACCGACTTTGCTACTAAATCAGGAACCCGAGCCTTGACTAAGTGTTTATTATTTTTATTAATAGGTCTTTGATCCAATAATACTCTTTATATCGTGAATGTTTTTATTTCTTAAGATCAAAAGTTTAAAGTTATTAGTCCACGTGCCCCTCTCCCCCTACCAAAAGAAAGGTGTCCGCAATTTCTAACTATGCCTTGGCGTTTGGGCCATGGCTCATAGGGATGTGGGTCAGTTTTGCTGACGATTGGTCAGAAAGCCCAATGGATAGGGATACAGCCATACAGGCTACATTCTTCCATCTCGGTCCGCTGGGTAAACTCGTGGTTCAGCCCATGAGCCTGCAATATCACAACTATGATTGTTCTTTAATTTCAGGATTCTGGGTATTAGTGTCATGGTGTGGTTGAATAAATTTTAACACGACACAAAAAATCAACATAGCACTCATAGGCAAATACTCTGATCTTTGCTCAATTTTGTTTGGCAATGTAAAGGCCTTTTTCGTTGTTAAAATTGTTGGAATAAAAGTCCTCGATATTAATTAAGCTATGGTTGATGGATAAATTCGAAATATATAAAATTTCAATTTATTGGTTAAATATTATATTATGCATAACATATATCATAGATGCATAGTGCATATATACATATATATTGCATTGATATAATTGGATATTTGAGTTAGACATTTTCTAGTCAATATGAATGACTTGGCTAGATGGACTTCTCAAATAGTAAAAAACTAGGTCAAGGTAGTTAATCCTATTTAGAGTGTTTTAGCCTATTTTGATGGCTAATCGGGTGAGTGGTAACGGCTAGTTGAACGACTAGTTGATACATCTTCCAATATAAATAAGACTCTCCGGATATAGAGAAAATCATTGCTGAAAAACACTCAGTTGCAAGNTCATAGATGCATAGTGCATATATACATATATATTGCATTGATATAATTGGATATTTGGGTTAGACATTTTCTAGTCAATATGAATGACTTGGCTAGATGGACTTCTCAAGTAGTAAAAAACTAGGTCAAGGTAGTTAATCCTATTTAGAGTGTTTTAGCCTATTTTGATGGCTAATCAGGTGAGTGGTAACGGCTAGTTGAACGACTAGTTGATACATCTTCCAATATAAATAAGACTCTCTGGATATAGAGAAAATCATTGGTGAAAAACACTCAGTTGCAAAAAAACTCATTAGAGGTGAAATCTCAACTCTACTATATTCATATCAAAGAGAGTTTNTGAAAAACACTCAGTTGCAAGAAAACTCATTAGAGGTGAAATCTCAACTCTACTATATTCATATCAAAGAGAGTTTTTAACTCTCAAAGACTTGCTACCCATTCATCACATAATCAAATTCTTGCTCCGCAAATTCTTACAAACATCACAGTAAAATTTTTGTTTAAAGTCTATTTTCTCTTTTTTTTTTTGAGATATGAAATTATTGATTAAGTTTGTATGTTCAAATTTTGCTTATGTATCTTTTCCAAATGATAGTATAACTAATCCACTTAATCCTTTTTGTGACGTATTAAATCTTAGGTAGGATTTTGTCGAGTGCCTCAATTTGGCTGTTTTTGTTCTATTTATAACTTTTAAACACTGTAATTCTAAAAATAAATAAAAACTATTAATATCAGAAGAAATGTCATTTTTCAAAAGATATTCGAAATAAGTAACTTTTTTTTAAACTATAGTTTTTACTTAAAAAAATCTATAATGACTTTTTTGGTTTGGGCTTACAATTTTTTTCCTAGGTTGAGATTTTGTGGGACAATTTTTGTTTGTGGAGCTTATATTTTTTGGGAGCTTAGACCCCGAGGTGGCAAAGAGCCGACATCAAAGTGCCAAAATTTTCTATTGATGTGAGCTTTTAGGGAAGATTAATCTGTTATTCCTAGAGTAACTTTTATTAGTTGAGTGATGGCCCTTCCACCTGGCAATGGGATCAGAAGGCGTCTATAATACCTCAATTTAGATGTTTGAAGGGGTTTCGTAATTTTATATGCTTCATTTCGCTATTAAGCTTCCGCTCAATCTTTTTTTCCCATTTTTTGCACTATACTTTTCATCAATTTTTCTCAATTGGACCCATTGTATATTGGCAGGTCTTTCCACTAATATGATTGATATATAATTTGAGAAAAACTTGGAAAAAAAATAGACGAGTATTCTCGTATTCTAATTTTCCAGAGTTTTTGATAGCACAGTTGAGACAGCGACAGGTTCTTCGTCCTGGGAGATGAAGCGCCGTAAATTTTGAGAATTGAACAGTTATTTTGTATACAATATGTGATAATAAATCCATCAAATCTTTTGTCCTAATGATCAAATGAGTTTCTTAGAGAGCAATCTCTAGCTGTAACTCTACCCTTCACCACCACTGGCTGTCATGATCTGTTGGGCATTTGTCATGATTTCTGTGTAGAAGTGAGTTGGTAGGAGGCCCCCCCCCCCCACTGTTCATGCAGAATCTGAACTTTGAGTTTTTGATAAGGCCGATCAATAGACTTGGCCCAGCATTTGATAGGATGCTTCAATTGAGAGGTTGACAATGACCATGAAAGTAGAGTTCTTGTGGCATGTTGTGATTTTCTGTGCAATAAATCAATGTAACGATATACAGGCTTATCAATGCATAGAAACATATATTGGTCGAGTCGAAGATTTCCTCCGATACATTTTTTTTCTAATTTTTTTCTTAGTGATTCACTTATCACGTATTTAAGTGGGTCTATCACTTATTAATGATAGATAATTATTTTTAAAAAAAAAATGGGGAGAAAAAATGTCCAAAAGGATCTGAATCCCCTCATATTGATCTGCAATAGAAATATCAAGTACATTCAACAAAGGTCTTCTGTTGAAAAAAAACTGGTAATTATCTTTACACTATACATCTCAAGAGAATTCGAGATTTTTTTACAATGGGAGAACTATTCCTATCGACACTGGAGTGGATCTATATAATCACTCGTAATAACATGCATCATGTAAATTAAGATTTTCAATTGAGAGTCAGAATTCAGATCTCGAGATAGTAATCTGGAAAGCCNGAGAATCTGAACTTTGAGTTTTTGATAAGGCCGATCAATAGACTTGGCCCAGCATTTGATAGGATGCTTCAATTGAGAGGTTGACAATGACCATGAAAGTAGAGTTCTTGTGGCATGTTGTGATTTTCTGTGCAATAAATCAATGTAACGATATACAGGCTTATCAATGCATAGTAACATATATTGGTCGAGTCGAAGATTTCCTCTGATACATTTTTTTTCTAATTTTTTTCTTAGTGATTCACTTATCACGTATTTAAGTGGGTCTATCACTTATCAATGATAGATAATTATTTTTAAAAAAAAAATGGGGAGAAAAAATGTCCAAAAGGATCTGAATCCCCTCATATTGATCTGCAATAGAAATATCAAGTACATTCAACAAAGGTCTTCTGTTGAAAAAAAACTGGTAATTATCTTTACACTATACATCTCAAGAGAATTCGAGATTTTTTTACAATGGGAGAACTATTCCTATCGACACTGGAGTGGATCTATATAATCACTCGTAATAACATGCATCATGTAAATTAAGATTTTCAATTGAGAGTCAGAATTCAGATCTCGAGATAATAATCTGGAAAGCCTTTTCATTCGAACTACTTTGATTGGTCAATTCTGACCGACAAGCAAAGTGGTCACACCAAGCTGAGTGATGCTAAGTACTAACATGTCATAGTGATTTCATCTCGAGTTCAATTTCAAAAATCATGTCTCTTTAAAATAGAGATAAGATTCTATCACCTATCTCTTTCAGATTTTGTCATAGGTAGAGAAATTTTGTGTATTTGGTACGGACTTTTTAGATATTTGATTAGCTGCTTTAAAAGAGTTTAAAAGTCTTTTTTTGGTTGACATCCACAGGCTGGGCTGGGCTGGACTTCCTGATCTTCAATGATTCTAGATCACTTACAATTTTGTCTAAGTTATAGGTACATTTATTCATGTCACACAAAACATATTTTATTTTATTGGTTTACTGGTCAGGGTATTCGGGTCAGTTTAAGCGCATATCATCTAATTTCTTCCCCAGATCTGCCAAAGGTAGGATATCTACGCCGGGACTAAAGAATTTATGATGAATAAATCTCTCACGGCATGATCTCAAAAAGTTGCTAAAATTTAAACTCATGACGTCTGAGTTTACAATTCATCCTTATTACTACTTGAACTACTATCGAAAATACACAAGACATATTTTAATAAAAGGATCAACTAAGAACCACTTCTGTGTAAGCTCAAAAAGGGCA